AAGATGATGAAGCTTTCGAAGTGGAAACTGGATGTGATGATGATCATCTAGTTCTTTGCAATACACGTGTTGATTATCAAATGCGATCACCTTTGCTAAACCACGTGTGCCTCTATTCTTTTTTCTCAGAGTACCGCAAAGCGAAGATGACATTGCGAGACAGGAATTTACTACAAGGTGGTAGTCAATCAGCAACAACAATACCTCGCGGTCGACCATTAAATGATCGTTGGTTATTTCGTGCTGATCATCCTCAGTATTCTACTCATATACTCATTCGTCGTTCGTTTGCTGTGGTTCCGGTTTTAATTGGTCCTGCTATCCCTCGTCATGATCGAGAAGATACTGCAGAAAGATACGCACGAGCTATCTTGACACTATTTCATCCTTGGACGACTGCAATTGATATTTGTGAAGTGAATCAATCATGGAGTGAAGCTTTGATCATATTGCAACCAACGTTCAGTTCAAAATCGAACAAAGTTATATCCAATATTCAGCTTCTTCACGAATGCAAACGCGACCGGGACGATGATCTCTTCCAATTAGTTAATAAACCGATAGTATCGAAGCCCATAAGTACACCACAATCATACATCGATACCAGCATAGAAGAATCGGAAGAAGTCCTTGCTTTAAGTCCTTGCTTTATTGGAAGCAAGCATGGATGCAGATCAATCTTTGATCAATCAAGATATGACTCAACACGAAGGATTGCGAGGTCGTATGAATCGCGAATATGTGGATACCACAATACAAAGTGTGATTCGTTCTGAACGTTTTTCAAACGTGTCAGACGTTAGCGGGTTATCTGAATTAATGACCAACAATTCAATAACTTCTTCACACAGAACAACGGTTGACGAGGTTGTGGCCCGACAGGCCAATTCCGAAGATATTCAACAGATTCGTGGTTGGCAGCATGATCTAAAAAATCAAAAAGATGAAATCCGACGAACGATGTTGTTTGGTTCGAGAGAAGAATTCTCAACAGTAAAGAAGGGTTGTGTGAAGATTCGTTGTAGGATTAAATGGTGTGTTTTAGAATGATCAGCTGGATGAAATGTGTTCTGTTCAGCCATTCAATGACGCAGACATTGAAGCGTGCAATAATCAACAAAGTGAACCGACGGTGTCAGTTAGTCTCTCTTCGAATAGTTGCAAAACTTTGTCGATGCCTGACATCGTGCAAAAGTTCTCATTCAATACAGAACAAGCTAGAATTTTCTGCACTGTTCGATCACACGTGGAACGCACGCTTGAATATCATCAAAACACAGGTCTGAATCCTATAAAACCAGAACAATTACTGATGTACATCGGTGCGTATGCGTGACTCATGTCTGATTTTTTGATCACTTTTCACATGAAGTAGGCGGTGCAGGTGGCTGTGGAAAGTCCCGCGTCATTGAAGCAATATCTGATTACATGTATCTTCAGGGACGATTACACACCGTACGTATGCTAGCACCATCGTCTGCTGCTGCCGTAGGGATTAATGGGTTAACGATACAATCCATGTTACACGAGAGGCGGAATAAGTCATCGAGTGGTAATTCTCAACTGACACAAACACACATGTCCGTTGTTGAAAACGAATGGCGTCATATTGACTATTGCTTCATTGATGAAATTTCGATGATTGGCTGTCACATGCTAGCGCAATTTCACAAGATTACGACGATTGCCAAACATACCTTGCCAACTGTGCCGTTTGGTGGTATCAATATCATATTTCTTGGTGACTTTGTACAATACGCACCCGTATTGGATCGCCCGTTGTATTCCAATCTGTTTCTACCTAGTGACACTCTATCCAATACCATCGCTGATAAGCCCAACGGAAGACGCACGGTGCCTGAAAGAGATATTCAATTTAAAGTTGGAAGAGCACTTTGCTTACAAGTCAACAAAGTCGTTTTCTTGATGCATCAAATGCGAAATAAAGATCGTGACTTCATGGACATGCAAACAAGACTTCGCATTGGTGAATGCAATGATGTGAGTTGAATTTTCAGATTGTTTTTTTAACTAAGGATTAATCTATTCAATCAATAGGACGATTACAAAATGTTGATGAGCCGTGTTGTTAAACCTGGAAATCAAATCGAATCTTTGCAAGAAAATCCGTGGAATTCAGCAACAATGCTAGTGTTTCGAAACGAAGTACGAACGATTATTAACAATTTGTCTGTTTTTGAGCACAGCACACGATTAGACGTGTAAGCCGCTTGGTTGATCGGCGGTGGCGGCTGACTTTTTCAAGTTTCTTTCCCCCGTCAGCGGCGGCGGCTTCGAATATTTCAAGGTTTGGCGGCGGCGACTGTAAAATTTCAACTTTGTCTTGACTTTCGGCGGCGGCTGAAGTTGTCCGATACTTTTTGTGAAAATTTCCTCTGCTATTCGAGACATTTTGAAACTTGAAAGGGAGAAAATGATGATAGATACTTATGAATATGAAGGCAGCTAAGAAAAACTGCATGGCCTGGAACTGAGTGTCACCAACTGTTAGAAATCTAATAGCTACTTTTATTTCACGGCGGCGGCGACTGAAACTCTCAGCAAATTTTCACGACTACAGCGGCGGCGGCTGAAATATCTCAAAAATTCTGTAGCGATCAGCGGCGGCGACTGTCAATTTTTCTCAAAGGCTGGCGACCGCAGCGGCGCAGCCGCGTGGCTTACACGTCTACACACGATCGCATCAATTACCAATCGTTATTGTTGCAAATGATCAAGTCCGACGCCATGATATCGACAACGCTGAAATTCGACGTTTTTTGCTCTGCTTACCTGACAACAAAACAGAGGGATTACCAGGGTATCTACCGATCGTTCCAAATATGTCGGTATTAATTACACACAACATCGCCACCGAACTTCATATTTCAAATGGGTCCATTGGTCGTCTAGTGAAAGTAGTATACGAGGATGAAGAACAGTCATATGATGCTTCGGCATTTAGTGATTCTACATTCCCATCGAATACAGTCTACATACGAAAACCGCTGTATGCACTGGTACAGTTACCACAATGCAAGTTAGCATCCACTTTGCCCGATCTACAACCAACTCTCGTACCGATTGTGCCAGAACAAAAAACGATCAAAGTAGATCTTAAATCGTGTCTGTCTCCTGCACAAAAAATATTGTTACAAAACAAAACCACCATCACCATCATCCGTTGTCAATTACCAATCATCCCTGCTTATGCAATGACAACGCATAAGTGCCAAGGCAAAACATTAGAATCTGGTGTAATAGATATTGTACCTCCACCTCATGCTAAGCCTGACCTCGCTCAAACCTACGTACCAATATCACGCTTCACAAGTTTAGAAGCGATGGCTATCCTGAGACCGTTTCCGCGCTCTATTCTGAACCCAAAACATCATCCTGCCATGAAAGCTGGATTGCAGCGATTGCAGTCAATCAATTCAACTGATTGAGTATTTCGACAGCAAGGTAGTGAAAATAACTATAAAAATCACATGTTAACTGAAAATGCTCTAGGTACTATTCATCAAATAGAGAGGAAAAAGAGTTTTCCATGAACACAACAGAGAATATTGGAATTAGTTGAACACACGAAATATCTGTTTAAAGATTGCTTTATTCAAGTGTGCCGAAGCATACATCAAGAAATAGGAATTATTTCATTGCTTGTAGAAGACGCCTGACCATATACTCTTTCGATTGCTTAACCCACCGCTGTTCTCTTTTTTTCTTCAATGATCAGCATTGCAACATCATTTCCGTCTTTTTCGTTCTCTTCGATTAAGGAGATTCAGTAAACTAATTCATTTTTCACTCAATTGCATTGTCGTGCCGAGTCTAACATTTTGATCGGGGAATAGTGATGCTGAAGGTTTTCACGATTGATATAGAAATCTCAAAATATTGCAATGAAGCAAATACACTCTGTCGAAATGTGAATGAATACGACAGGCATATGCTAGCAGTCTTAACAAAAATACGATACACAGAGTGATGTCCCAATTTTCAGTCTAGGGACGAGTGAATCGGAAGCCGATGCACGTTACTTGTTTTTAATTTGTGTTAATTTTTCATCGATTGTTGCATCATTTTCTATTGTTGGTATAAACTTTTCCATGAGTTTATACCTTGCTTGTATGAATGACGATAGAGCACCTAATTTTAAAAGCCCTTTCAAACATAACAATTCCAGAAAACAATCTCCTGTTTCATTGTAATATTTCGTAAAAATTTCAGCTTCGATTAAAATCTTCTGAATGTTTTAATTAATACTTTCAAAACCAAAGAAACTCCGATGAAAAGCTTCTTCAACAGAAACGGTTCCAGCTTGTCAGCAGTCATCCTATTCCGCGATGTTGCACATTTCGGAATCAGTTCCGCCTACGGACTCAATTCCACCGATTCCGGAACTCCATTTCTATAATAGTTGATTCGATTCCGCAATGTGCAACATCGCGAAATAGGATGCATTCTCCTGCCAGTACGCTTTACAAACTTTGAGTACACAATTTCAAATAAAATAGGCGTAGAAGAATATAGGCACTCACAGAACCCGAACTTTGAGACCGAACTCGAATCGAATTCGAACCCGAACGTTCGTATTCTGTGCATACATATAAGAGAGGCATCTACGAATAGTAACATAGTAAGAAAAGTATGCAAAAATCATTCATCCATATCTGCCTCTCTATTACGTGTATGAAACTACAAGGTTGAGTGACTCACAAAAATAGCATCTACTAAAAAAAGACCAACTAGCGTCGTTGAGTATAAATACGGCAGATAACTTGCTTCAAAGATATACAACGCTAACAACTTCAAAATACTCCAACATTAATGTCTATCGTAAGTATGCTTATTTATTTATATATCAATTTTTCTATGTAATATGACACTAAAAATGAAAGTATTTACTTCCAAATCCAAAATTAATAGTTACATCATGTTGTAGAGTAAACTCTAAAATGTCACGTCGTTAGAGCTCCAATTTTCTCTATTAAATGTTGTGTAAACTATCCTGAGTCTTTCAAGAAATGAGCGGCTAAAAATAACACAAAACCAAAATTTTTAAAGTCAAATAGTTTCAGTGGTAGCACAGGTCTAGTTGTTTTTTTAAATATTCTGTATGGATTAAAGTATGCCTTGCTTTCTGAAAAGAAAAATCTCCTCATATATTTGAAATCTTTCTGTTGAGAAAAAAAACATCGGACAAACTTGACCGTGTATATTCCGAGAAAATTTCTTCTAATAATATTTTACTAATGATTAGATGCCAGAAATTCAACAATTCGAAAATAAAGGTCACGTAGTGTTGATCACGCCACCTTTCTTCGGTCACATCTCTCCATTACTGGATTTTGCTGAACAATTATCCAAACATCATCATGTTACCTACGTGGTATCAGCGTCGAAACTCGATGCACTTAAACAACGTGGAATGCTTATTGAAGATGGGGACAACAAGCTTATTTCATCGAATTCTCAAATCAATTTCATCGGCTTGTTTGATCACAACGATGATACTTATGAAGTAAGTTCAATCTGATAATAACACTCAATGACAATAAATTCGATCACATTTGAAGATTTCCAAGCCAAATAGACCCTCAAGCCTACATGATATAATCGATCGTATGCGTGAACCTCTTCAACAGCTACTTTTTCCCGAATCTGTTGCATCATCGTCAACTTCCTTATTAACAACACGATCAATCGATCGTCCTATTGACTTGATTGTCTCCGATTTCTTTGTTCATCTGCCATTTCAAAATGCATACGAAAGAAATATACCTGCCCATGTTTTCGTGCCTGGCAGTTTTTTGATTGTTTCGCTTACCATCGCTTATTCAATGGGCGAGATTCAAGATGCAATAACGCCGGACGTGGCACATGCAATTTTGGAATCATTTTCGTTTGCTAAAGGATTTATTTGCAATTCGACTGATAAACTAGACCAACGCATAGTTGAAGATCTACGTCAACGATCACTTCCTTTTTCAAATCTGCCTGTCCGATTTATAGCACCACTTATATCCGAAAAATCGGATGATCAACAAAAAGTAAATAAGAAAATTTAATTGAATCATTTTGTAAGGTGAAGAATTTCAATATAGATAATAAGAGATACACCACCTTTTTCATCATGAAAATCGACTATTTTCTGTTTGAGACGTTTCGTCTTTATTCAAAAGACATCCTCAG